TCTCTCTCAAAATAAATAAATAAAACTTTAAAAATAAAAAATAAAAAAAAAAGATTTGAAACCAGTGGAGCCTGGGCCAGCCCTCCAGAGAGCAAGGCCTCTCCCAGTGGGGGGATGAGGGATGGTGAGTGGAGAAGAGCCTCTAGAAGTTAAGGCAGCAACGCTGTCCCCTCAGGGGTTACAAGAGAATGATCGTTGACCTCTTTCTGCATCTGCCATTGTTGCTAGAGAAGCTGAGCCGTGCTATCCAGGGAGCTCTCGGCACACCTCCACGCCCTCCATCCCACCTCGTACTCAGGGTGGTCTGAAGTCAGCTTCACGTGGGGGGTGGGCTTCTCCAGCTCTTCTGGGCTAGGTGTCCCTCCCGGGCACTGCTCTCAGTGGTGTGCTCAGAGCAGAATCTGGTCCTGGGCTGATTGACCGAAGGATCCTGCTGAGAGAGTCCTCTGCCTCATGAACTTGGCCAGAGCCAGTCATCAGGCTGAATGTGGGGGCCTGAGCAAATGCACAGATGCTGGGGGATGGGTAGTTCTGGGGGGCCCAGTGACAAATCCTGTAGCCCTAAAGGCTGAGCAGCAGAGTCCACCTGGCTGTGTGGTTCCCAGCTTATTGTCTAGGGCAAGGACATCTTAGGGGGTCCTTTGTCCCAGAGCTGACACTTCTGTCAGCCACTTGGGCTTCTTGGAAGAATCTGGCCAGGGACATCCCATTCAAGGAGGAATGTCCCAGGCTGGCCACCTGGTTATTGAACGGCCTGCTTGCCAAACCCCTGTGGATCAGGGGGACCGGCTAGAGTGAACCTGAAATCCCTGCAAAGGTTCTGGAGCTTGGAACTACCTGGAATGACAGTATAATATCATAGAAAGAGCCCAGACTTGAAGTGAGACAGATCTTGTCTCACCACTTACTATATTGGACAAGTCACTAAATCAGTACATCTATATTCATATATGTAAAATGGAAATTGTTATCCGCACCTCACGGGGAAGGAGCACTAAATGAACTAGTGAAGGAATGTGGTGTGTTAGCACAGAGCCTGGCATATAATAGGCATTCAACTGTTGGTAGTTATTTCTCTTGGTCCTGTCTCTGTTAGGGGAAGACTCAAGGGTGTAGCTCTGAAAAGTGAAGACGATCTGTAGAGGAGACATACTGGCTATCATGGATCATTCCAGAGACATAGTGAGACTGCATGAGAGGCCTGGAAGCACCTCACTTCACTTGATTCTCCCTGCTCCTCACCACCCTCAACAGCAACAAGGATGTCATGATTCTCTGGCCTCCTTAGTCCCCTTCCTCTGGTGGCATTCTGGGATCAGCCCATTCCCAAATCCTTTTGCTCCTTCTGATGGAGGCTTGAGTGCCATTGTGCCACCCTGCTGATGCCAGCAGCAAGCTCTAGGGCTAGGAGACTGGGTGGAGCCTGGAGGTTCTCAGGATTCCCAGGGTCACAGTGGGAAGCCCCAGGACTTCTTGGCTGTTCCCAGGCACCTGAGGGAGAACAATGTCATTACTGCAGGAAAGGACAGGATCATGCAGGTGAGGCTCAGAGGACAGAGGCAGGTAGGATTGGTGAGCACCTTCTATTCAGAGCAAAATTACCAGAGCCTTGGCAGGACCAAAAGATGATAGTCTTGGGGAAGTTCAGAGTCTGATTTTTAAGGTGGGGGGCAGCCAGTATGGAAATGACAGTCCTAACGCCCACATTCAGGAGTCATCCAGGAAAGGTGTCTATTCCTCTCAGAAGAGCTAAGGAAAGTAGAGGCTTTTTGCTCTTGCTGGTCACCAAGCCTGCTGAATCTTACCAAAGGCTATTGAGTCTAGGTAATGATAAAACCTTCCACTCGCTTCCCACTGCACTTAAATAAAACTCCAACCCAACAGACCTGGCCTCACCTACTTCTCAACCTCATCGCCAACATGCTCTCCCTTGCTCCCACTAGCCTCCTTTCTGTTTCTCAAGCACACCAACCTCACTTCTGCCTCAGGGCCTTGGCATTTGCTGTTTCTTCAGCCTGGGGTTCTCGTTCTGACCTCATACCTGGTTGCTCCTCTCCATTCAGGTCTCAGCTCAAATGTTACCTCTTCAAAGATACCTGTTGTGATCACTGTATCTAATATGTTGCCCTTCCCCCACCTCCCTCACTTTCCATCCATTTACCCTGTTTTATGACCCTGAGAGTCCTTATTGCTCTCAAATTCTCTCATTATGTATCTCACTTCTTGTATAGTGTCTATCTCCTTTGTGAAAGCAGGATTTAAATTGTTCGCCTGCATTATCCCCAGGGCTTAGCACAGTGGCTCATAGTAGATGGTCAGTAAATATTTGTTGAATGACTGAAAGGTGTCAGAGGCAATTCCGGTCTAGAAGAGGCAATCCTGATTAGAGGACTCAGAATGTTGTTATCTTGACCCTGTTACGGCAGAGAAGGACCCTGAACAAGACAAGCCAAGACCCAGACTGAAATGTAACCATCAGAATGGATAAGTCTACCTGCAGCGACTGAGAGATGGCCCAGCCCTGCAGCCAAGTCAAGAGCCAAAAGACACCACACAACAGCAGGTCGTGTCCTGGGTAAGGACTCAGCATCTGAAGTCTGAGACAAGGCCCAAGGCCCAAGTCAGTTGGGGAGAAGTATAGCAACAGGGGGTTCAGCAAGCAGTTCACCAACAGACAACAGGCTCCTAGCCCCTTGCGTGAGATTCAGGGGCAGGGTGTTGGGTGGGGACAACTAGTAAAAAAAAAAAAAAACAAAACCTAGCCCTAACTGAGGTACTAGGCAGGCTTCAAAGACGGATCAAGGCAGAAGCCAAGTAATGAAAACCAAACCGGTGACTGGGACTCAGCCTGAGGCCAGGTGGGGGTGGGATGGGGATAGGGTGGGGAGTTAGCCAGTTCTGGAGGAAGAGGGCTCTAAGGACAACTAGGCAGGACCAGACAGGCTATTTGTTTGGGTGGGAGGTGCTTCTGGAATATATGATCTTTTGCTGGGGTGGGGGTGGGGAGGAGGATAGGGGACAGACCTGGGTTCACCTACCAGAGGAAAGTGCTCAGGGGTTGTCTGCCTGGGACCCTCTCCCCATGGGCTTCTGACAAGAGAGCAGCCGTAAAGAGTACCCCTGAAACACCTGCTTCTGATTCTGTGTCTCCCTCTCTCTCTGCCCCTCCCCCACTCATGCTCTGTCTCTCTCTGTCCCAGAAATAAATAAACATTAAAAAAAAATTGGGGCTCCTGGGTGGCTCAGTCGGTTGAGTGACCGACTTTGGCTCAGGTCATGATCTCACAGTCCATAAGTTCAAGCCCCGCGTCGGGCTCTGTGCTGACAGCTCAGAGCCTGGAGCCTCCTTCTGATTCTGTGTCTCCCTCTCTCTCTCTGCCCCCCCCCCCACTCATGGTCTGTCTCTCTCTGTCTCAGAAATAAACATTTAAAAAAAAGAGTACCCCTGAAATAAATCTTTCTGAGGCTGTTATAGCTATGCCTTTATAGCCACTCTTAATTACTTTAACAATTGGACAAGGGACTTTCACATCCATAGGACCAGACATTTAACAAATACCTACAGGATTCCTGCTAGAAAACCACAAAAACTCCCACTGCCTCAAAGAGCAACAAACTGTCCTGCCTCTTTTTGTATGCCTCCCTATCCTCAGCTCCCCCACTAGGGCTGCTCAGCTTTTGTCTTTTCATTCAACCCCCAAGGTCATTCCTGCCTCCCTACTTTGGCCACTCCCCCCCTGCCACCAAACCAGATGGAACACTTTATTCAACATACAAAATAAGTTATTTTTCAGTGACTCCTCCCTATCATTGAGTACATAATGCTCTCAATTCCCATAGCACAGCCTCAAACTTGGTGATATTGTTTAATTTTTGTTCTCAAGTAGTTTCAGTATGGGCATTGTTTCCACAACCAGATCAGAGCGTCTTTGGAAACAGGGGACAAATCCTCCCCTTGTTATGTTTCCTCCATAGCACCTAGCAAGGATCTGGGGGCATAACAGATATTTGTTAGCTTGAGCCCTGCCCTCTTCAAGAAAGGGTAGGGGGAAAATACCACTCTGGCTGTCACAGACTGCTTGGTAAAAAAAAAAAAAATGGGAGGCAGGATTTAACTACTTTGGAAGCAACTGGGCCCCTTGGGCAACCTATACTTTTTATTTTTAAACTTTGGGAAATGAGGAGAGAGCAGCCTACTTTCAACATCCAGGGAACCTAGGAAATATTTATAAGTTAGCATCTCCTTTCAAGACTTCTCTATACTTCCACATATCTGGTCTATATCCCACCCTCTCTGGGTGTTTCTGGCCACTGATGACACTGAGTGACAGAATGAATTAGTCCTGAAGAAGTGACTCAAATGATTCAGGTGGCATAGAAGTCTAGTAGGGCGTGTGCCTTGGCAAAGCATTATTGTTCTAGTAGGGCGAGCTGCTTCTTCTACTCCTCACAATCAGAAATGTCTTCTTGGCGGAAAGCAAGACATCAAGGCATGTGATAATCTATACAAATTTTATTTTAATATCAATTTGTATGGAAACAAGCAGATGTCAGCATTTTTGCAGGCACAGGAAAAAAAAGGGAAAGAAAAAACTCCAGTAATAATTGATCTTGTATTTACACCATTTGGTTTCAACAAGGACAGGAAGCTTTGCTGTTAGCTTCCTGTGGGGACTCCAGTTTCTGCACCTTCCCCTGCTGCCTCTCAGCATCACGATAGAGCAGGGATTTCTGAGCCTTTAATCGGCAAGCCAGGCACATGAAAATTGACTCCACGTTCTGGCTCTCTTTGGGGTCCTTGGCCGAAGTCTCAAACAAGAGCATGTTGTGGGCATCGGCAAATTTCAAGGCTAAGTTGGAGGGCACCTGGATCTGTTCCCTCAAGTCACACTTGTTGCCCACAAGCACTTTGGGGACTAGTGGGGGCACAGCATGCCCGTTGCATTCTTGGATCCACATTTTGAGGTTGGTGAAGGATGTCATCTTGGTGACGTCATAGACGAAGACCACTGCATGCACATTGCGGTAGTAATGCTCGACCATGCTTTTGCGGAAGCGTTCCTGACCTGCTGTGTCCCATACTTGAACCTGGAAGATACAAAAACCCATATCTGGAGTCAGAAAAGGAAACATGAATGGATAGGAGAAAATATGGTTCTGTGATCTTATAAAAATGAGGTGAAAAGCCCTGACACAGGAAGGGGTTCTTTGAAAGACTGGCAGAATGGACTTTTAGAAGTATACAGAAAAGTTTCTCTCCAGGTTTTAACATTTTTCTCAAAAATTTGAGTTGAAAATCTTGAGTTGAAAAATATTAAGGCTTTTAGTTGAAAAACTGGGATGTAAATTGGTCAGCTTTTCTGGAGGAGTATTTGGCAATATTATCAAGAACCTTGAAAATGTTCAAAACTCTTCAAGCCTATAATATCACTTCCAGAAATCCATACAAAGTAGCAGAGATGCGGTCAAATTTCTGTACAAAGATATTTTTTTTTAATTTTTTAAAAGCGTATTTATTTTGAGAGAGAGAGCGTGCACACCCACGAATGGAGTTGGGGCAGAGAGAGAGAGAGAGAAAGGGAGAATCTCAAGCAGGCTCTGCACTGTCAATGTGGAGACTGATATGGGGCTCAAACCCACAAACTGCAAGATCATGACCTGAGCTGAAATCAAGAGTTGGATGTTTAACTGACTGAGCCACCCAGGCTCCCCCTGTACAAGGATCTTAATAGCAGTGTTTATACTTTTTTAAAAACAGGAAACAACCTAAATGATCACTAAGAATAGCAGAAGTGTATGTACATATCTATACAGTGGGCTATTATGCAGCCATTAAAAATAATGTTTTCAAAGAATAAATGGTAGAGGAAATTCTCATAAAATATCAGGAAGTGAAAAAAGCAGTATACAAAATTTTTTATATGCTATGGCCTTAATATTTTTAATATTAAAAATAGACATATGCCGGGGTGCCTGGATGGCTCAGTCGGTCAAGGGTCCGACTCTTGATCTCGGTTCAGGTCATGATCTCATGGTTCATGAGTTCGAGCCCTGTGTCGGGCTCTGTGCTGACAGTGTGGAGCCTGTTTGGGATTCCCTCTCTCTCCCTTGCTGTCTGCCCCTCCCCCACTCATGTGCACACACGCGTCCTCCCTCCCTCTCTCTGTCTCTCAAAATAAATAAACTTAAAAAAATAGACATATACCTAGGAGAAACTGGAAGTGTACACACCAGGACATTAATGGTATTTATCTGCAGTGGGACTATAGGTGTTATTTATTTCCTTTTTTTTTTTTTTTTTTTGTATATTCCAAATTTTCTAAACACTCTGTCTTGTATTTTTACCTGACTTTTTTTTTATTTTTTTAGACAAATCATTTTTTAAATGTTTGTTTATTATTTTTAAAAGAGAGGGGGAGGGGCGCCTGGGTGGCGCAGTCGGTTAAGCGTCCGACTTCAGCCAGGTCACGATCTCGCGGTCCGTGAGTTCGAGCCCCGCGTCGGGCTCTGGGCTGATGGCTCAGAGCCTGGAGCCTGTTTCTGATTCTGTGTCTCCCTCTCTCTCTGCCCCTCCCCCGTTCATGCTCTGTCTCTCTCTGTCCCAAAAATAAATAAACGTTGAAAAAAAAAAAATTTAAAAAATAAAATAAAATAAAATAAAAGAGAGGGGGACAGGGGATCTGAAGCAGGCTCCACACTGACAGTAGCGAGCCCAATGCCTGGGTCGAACTCACAAACTGTGAGATCATAACCTGAGCCAAAGTCAGACACTCAACTGACTAAGCCATCCAGGTGCCCTTTGCATGACTTTTTAAATAAAACAAAGTGTTAAAATCTCACCTTTTAGGGGCACCTGGGTGGCTCAGTCGGTTGAGCGTCCAACTTCAGCTCGGGTCATGATCTCATAGATCTTGAGTTCGAGCCCCACATCCAGCTTGCTGCTGTCAGCAGGGGCCCACTTCAGATCCTCTGTCCCCCTCTCTCTCTGCCCCTCCCCTGCTCTCTAGCTCCCTCTCTCTCTCAAAAAAAAAAAAAAAAATCTCACCTTTTAGCTCCATTTATTCTAAGTTCACTTCTTTGATGTGAAAAAGGTAATTTAGCTCACTGGATTTTTCTTCTGCATCTCAGCTTTGGGGATAAAGGCCAAATTATGAAGGAAAAAATGCTGATTATCGGTAACACATACAAAGACACAATTCCCAAGGGATACTCTGGAGTAGAAGACACACAATCACCCCCATCTATTTCCCTTTATACATCCAAAGTCTTGGACAAGAGAAATTTATTCTCAGAACGATGGCCCAAGGCCCTATGCAATTCTCAGTTATCAAAGAAAATTTGATTATGGTCACTAATTGACTACTATGGCTCTTAAAACCAAGTATAGCCTTTATTTGCAGTTAGCAGTCAGTAAGTGTAATCTGGTAAATATAATTGAATCTCTTTGCTGAGTGAAGATCTTACAGGGCCCCAGAGTCATCATCATTCTGAACATCAATTTTCATTGTCTAGGCTCTCCTTCATCTCCTCTATTGACATGACTGCCACGTTCCTTTGGCACAACTGTCAGATTCACTCCTTCTGTTTTGATTTTCATGTCCCTAGGCCAGACCCTCCTTCCTCACTCCTGGACTACAGCAAAGTCTTTTGTATTCTTGATATCTCCACTCCAGTGCTTCCTGCATGCTGCTTTCAAACTAGGCTTCCTAAATCCCTGCTTGTATCAGCGTGACACCCTCCTCTTTAGGAAATTATGACAGCCCTCTTCTGCATGTAGCCTCAAATGGAAAAGTGTCTGACATCATTCGGCCCAGCCCAGCCTGGTTTCAAACTACTCAGCTATACCCGGTTCATTCCCTCCTCTGTACCTTTGGTCCTGCTAGTCCGTCCTTCCCCAGCAGAACAGGTCGCCCCCTTGTTGCCCTCTCCAAATCTCACCCATCCTTCAAGGTTCGGCTCATGCCCACATTCTTCCTAAAACTCCATTCTTCTCCACCTTCTCTTCAATTCTCTGTTCTTCTAACTTTCTATTGTACTTTGAATGGTACTTCTATTGTACCATTTAGAATATATTATGTGTTGTCTACTTGTTTCATCAGTGCTCTTGACGTTTCTCCAGCCAAACTTGTAAGCAGCCTTTTTCTGCATCAGATCACTTGTCACCATGGTCGTCGTCGTCATCATCATCATCATCATCATCATCATCAAAAGGCAGTATTGAGCCACCAAAACTACAGTCTGGCATCCTACGTATCTCCCAAGGCGATTTCAGAAAGAACATTCGACTTTGGTTACACAGAAAAATGTAAGTCCTTGAACACTGATTTGCTTCTGAAAGCAGAGAGAGAAAAGATTTTCACTTCTTCCGCCTCTCCAGTGCTCTGAGCAGAAAGAAAGAGCAGGCCAGTAAAGGTATGGAGGTCAATGGGAAGAGAGCAGGTATAGCACAAGAATATCATTACCACTTGGCTCCTGATCCCCACCTCCACCCTCCAGTAGTCCTAACTCTTGCCTCTGAGTAAGGCTGAATCCCTACCAGCCCTCAGGCATGTGGCAGATGCTTTAACACCATGAGCTCAGAACTCTAAAAATACCTGCCACCAGCAGGAACACGGGTGGGAGTGTGTGAGGTGTTTGGGGCTGAGTGGGTTGGCTGTTTGGCTTTTCTTTGCCTTCAGAATTGTATACACCATCCAAACTGCCAGAGCTGCAGGGAGGATCCTTCCTGCTGTAGACCTCCTTGCCTTTCCAGTGCCACGGGGAGCCTTGAAGCTTTTATTTGGAGGCTCAGAATTTAAAGTGTAGCACTGCTCCCATTGCAGCTTTTTATAAACCCCACTCTAAGTTCTTTGCACCCCCGTCAATGGCAAGCGGTGAGTCCGGAAGCAGGCTGCTCATAGCACAAAGTCAGAATGGATGGTGTGGCCTCAGAGCCATCACAAAGGGAGAGCGCAGCAGTCAGTTCACTGCACACAAATGACCTCATTCTGTTTGGGAGTTTGGTGTCCCTGTTCTTAGCATCCTCACAAACCCCTGATCCCTGCCAGACAGTGAAAGCATCTCCTCCCGCTTTCCAGCTGGCACTCCTCTCATCCATTCTTCCCTTCCTGTGGGCACCGCATCCACATGGTAGCCAGGTGTGCTGGCTGCTCCCTAGCCACATACATGCTCCCCAGATCCTCTTTTCTCTCCCAGGGCTAGTGAGGGCATTGTGGAGTCAACCAGCCTGGGTGCAAACCTCAACAGGATCATGTACTAATCAGGTGCTCTTAGGTGAGTTACTTACTCTGTCTTCAGTGTCCTCCCCTGGAAGCTAAAGATAACCTCAGCCATCTCCGTGGGGATGCTGTGAGGATTAGCATTCCTCATGAGTACATGACACAGTGCCTAATACGTACTCTCCCTTCCTCCCTGGCCCCAAACTTCCACCATCAAGTCTGGTCCAACAGCTAATTGAGCGGGTGCTATCAGAGATGCAGCAGCAGTAGGCATGGCATTGAGAGACCTGGGTTCCAGCTCCTCTACTTAGTAGCAGAGTAAATGATGAGGCAGATTAACACACGAGAAAGAGCTTTTGCAAAATAGAAGTACTCTGTAAGTGCTGGCTGTTGCCATTATTTCAGAGGGCCCATCGGCTGTCCTAGTAGCACTGTTCCCTGGATGCACTGGTTCTCCTCCTGGAAAGCACAGAAAGCCTGGCTTCTTGATGATGGCATGGAGCCAAGGCCAAGGCAGTCAGTGGGGAGGGGGAAAGAAAGCAATGCCAGCAACGTGCCACAGGCGGCTGGGGGAAGGCCCAGAGTGACAGGGGTGTTGGAGGAGGCTCCAGGGGCACAGTGTGGAGAGCTGCCGAAGAGAAATCTAGGCTTTTAAACCATTATCCTGGGGCTGCCACTGCCTGAGCAAGCTTCAGCAAGTCCCCCACCCCTGCACGTGCTCCTAGCTCACACGGGTATTTCTTTTCCCTCTGGAACATATCTGGCATCTTTCTATAGATGAGGAGTGAATGTCCTTCTGTTGGAGGCCGGCGGGGGAGGGTAGAAGTAGAAAAAGGGAGACAGATACATCTGTAACCTTTGGAGGATGCCCAAGTGGATGATGGGAAAAGTCGAAAACAAATCTTTTTTCATTTAGCTGGACTGTCCCATCTGCACCTAAGATACACACACAGTCACACACAAGGCTGACACAGAGAATGGCAAAGGAGGACAGAGACAAAGAGAACTCACACACAGAAAGAGAGGCAGCAAGGCAGGCAGAGAAACACACACTGATGGATAATTAGCCATTAAGTGAACTGGCATAAGATGGAAGTTCAGAAGCCCTAAGGAAGACATGATGTCATTCTGACTGCAGGCAGCTTCTGAGGGAACACTGAGCTCAGCCTCTGTCCCCTCAGTAATATAACACAGGAAGGTGTCTGTCCAAGTGCTCAGCAGAGGAAGAGAGTCCACAGTCCTGGGTGGCACCTGCCCACAGCCACAGCTGACCTGCAGTTTGCCTGGTCGGGAGGGCTGGGGCAGAGGGGTACCAGCTGTTGGGGGAGCTAAACGAGACAGGAGCAGGGGTGCTTCCATGAGAATTTACAAAGAATGGCTCAAAAATTAGTTCTGAGCCTCTCCTCTCTTACCTCCCCCATCTCACCCCTCACACATTCCTATTTGGCACTTTCCAGTGCTTTTAGACTGAGGCAGGCTTAATATGATTCAGCTAAACCTGTAGGAGATGGACATATCGTGTCATTAAGGAAAGCTCCACCCTTCCTTTAGGATCAAGAAGGCCTCCACACTTCCTAGGCTGATGTCATGAAGGGCCGTCAGCTTTCCCATATGATGCCCCTCTGTATCCCTGTCACAGGTAACTGCGTGGGTTGGGTGCACCATGGGACCAGCCCAAATTGCTAGGGAAGAGCACCCACAAGGGAATTGGGAAACCTGAGTGGAAGGCCTGTCCCTGTGTGATCTTGTCCCTTTCCCTCTCCAAGCCTCGGTTTCCTATCTGTTAAATGAGCACATTGGTTTAGAGATTCTTTAAGGTCTCTTCCATCTCTGAACATTCTCGGGTTCTCACATCCAAAGGGAGACAGTCAAGATGCAAAAAGTAAAACCTAGGTACTCAGCTCAGTGTCTGGGGTGCAGTTGAAGGAGACATCTTGCAGGCTCCTAAGTTCCAGGGCTCTAACCCTGGACCCTTGGCCTAGAAGAGACCACAAGGCCAGCTGTCCAGCCTGCCATCTCCCGCTAAGCACACTCCCCACACCCCAGGCTAGAAATTGCCCCCTAAAGCAGAGAGTGGTGTTAAACAGCTTGGGCTTTGAATCCACATTGAAGTTCTGACCCTGTCACAGAGAACGCAGGATAGTGAGAGAGACAAGTGCTTGGGCTCAAGGCTCAAAGACTGAAACTCAGATCCATGCGCCTCTGGGCAAGTTATTTAATCTCTCTAACTTTGGTCTCCTTATCTGTTGAATAGGAATGATAATAATAGTCCAAATTGCATAGGGCTGCTGTGAAGATCAGATAAGATAATGCCTGTAAAGCACCTAACCCAGGCTCTTGGTCAATATGTAGAAGCTGTTGTTGTTGTTGTTGTTGTTATTATTATTGCCTACTCATTGGAAGCTTTTCTTGATGTTCATGTGAACCAGGAAACACTGGATTATAAATGTTGTGATGGAGAGGGGGTGGGACACATTGATTGGAAACACCAAATGGGGCTTCGAAGCCCTAGAGATGGCCCTTGTAATTAAGAGAGTAGCCCTAAATTTGAGAACTCAGTCACCCCCCTGCAGGGGTTGATGTATGTACTACCCTGGGACACAGGGAGGCTGCCCAGGAGAGGCCACACCCTACCCCTGGACTGAGAGAAGGGCTTGCAGAGACCTCTCTGCCATCCTCCTGTGAGGGCTGGCATTTGTATCCTGATGGCCTTCTATTGATGGCTGTGGCCTAGGGCCACTTCAGCCTGTCACATTGGACTTCTCTCCCTCCCCCAAAGGGAGAAGCCTTTGGCAGTCACCTCCTAGCATGGATTTGGCATTTGCTCCTTGAAAAACTCCAGGCCAGCCAGAGTGTGGGGCAAAATCTCCTCCCATCTAGATCATGTGCTAGCTGCCTTGCTCTGCCATCTTCCCACAGACATGCTGGTCTCGCCTGCTGCCTTTGGCCCTGAAGTTGCAGCAGCTCTACAAGAGGCAGAGTCACTATCTCCCCACTCCCACACCCCACCCTGGGCTCCTTCGGAATCTGCACTCAGAGGGCTCCTCTATGAACAGTGTCACAAGGCTTTGCCCTCTCAAAAATATCATCTTCCCAAAAAAGCCTGTATTAAGCACTTATCGGCGCATGGTGTTGTGCTGAGCTCTGTTTCTAGTGAGTCACACTGTTACAGGCTCTTCCCTCTGGGAAAAAGTCTGGAATCTTTGGCAAACACTGTAAACTCCAGTTTAGCTAAGTACTTGGTTGTTAGGAAGGAAGGAGTCTTTTAAAAATGTCCCCAAGGCCATTGGGCAGTGACCCTCTTCTACTTGTTTTCACCTCCCTTTTCCCACTTCTGGCTTTCTCCTCTCCTCTCCTCCTGTTCTCTCTCCTTCCTCTTGCCCCAAACTCCCAAACACTTTCTTTCTCCTCCATCTGAATTTCAGGTGGACTTATTCTCCCTCTTTTAAATCCAGAGAATTCTTTGGCTCAATGTGACACTTGATTTTAAGCAAGCAATAACATTAAATTTTAAGGTCTTTGAGGGTTTAAGAACACATCCATAAGTATATTTCTACTTTGGATATAAAAAGGCATGTTTCAGGGTGCGCCTGGGTGGCTCAGTCGGTTAAGCGCCTGACTTCAGCTCAGGTCATGATCTCATGGGTTCATGAGTTTGAGCCCCACATTGGTATCTGCTGACGGTATGGAGCCTGCTTGGGATTTTCTCTCTCTGCCCCTCCCCCACTTCTCTCTCTCTCTCTCTCTCTCTCTCTCTCTCTACCTCTCTCTCTCTCTCTCTCTCTCTCTCTCTCTGTATCTCAAAATAAATAAACTTTAAAAAAAATAGGGGTGCCTGTGTGGCTCAGTTGGTTGAGCATCCAACTTCAGCTCAAGTCATGATCTTGCGGTTTGTGGGTGGGTTCGAGCCCCACATCAGGCTCACTGGTGTCACCACATAGCCCACTTCGGATCCTCTGTCCCGCTCTCTCTCTGTCCCTCCCTCTCCCTCTCTCTCAAAAATAAATACACATTTTTTTAAAAAAATGAAAATAATAAATTAAAAAGCCATGTTTCAGAAATTCCAGAATCTTTTTTTTTTAGTTTTTTTTAATGTTTATTTATTTTTGAGAGAGAACTCAAGCAGGAGAGGGGCAAAGAGAGAGAGGGACACAGAATCTGAAGCAGGCTCCAGGCTCTGAGCTGTCAGCACAGAGCCTGACATGGGGCTCGAACCCACGAACTGCAAGATCGTGACCCGAACCAAAGTCAGACACCCAACTGATTGAGCCACCAGAAATTCCAGAATCTTACAACCTTACATTAAAGAAGTTAGACACACTAGAGAAAGTCCTAACCAAGCAAACGTCAATATATGAGCCCTAGAAAAAGATACAGACAGCTACTTTGACTTTAAAAAGGAAATGTAGCAATTCCCCCCAAAATGCAAGGGACAAACAAGGTCTCTATTTCAAAACAGTGCCCCATCTTCCTGACCCTGGGACTCAGTTGCTCTCCAGAGCTCTCCCTTACCAGTACCTAGCTGCCCATCTTCCTGACATCCAGTGCCTCGGCCCAGTTTCCGAAGCCATTTTAAAACACATTCATTTTAATAATCAAGGAATCTGGAGTTGTGCACAGTTTAGTATTTCATCATTCTCCCCCGTTACTCAGCCCTTCTCTCCACATCACTCAGAAGAGGCACCTTGGGGTCATTTGGGCTCCTGACCAGCAAGAGGGAAATTGACCTCCACCCAACAGCCAGCGTCAGACCATAGGCTCAAGGAAAACCCAGCTGTGGATCCAGTAGAGTTGGTATTTAGTGCCCAGTGCCTTTTGAGGTGCATTCCTGCCCATAATCCTGCCCCCTCTGACCCTTGACACATGAAGCTGCCCTTGCCATGTCCTCCCTCTGAACCTAGAAATGTATCTGTCCTGTCGAGTTTCTTCTACCTTTTCTGAACCAGCGTGAACACAAATGGTCAGATGAGAATATCTGTACTTAGCCAATTTGATAAATAAGCTAATGGGGGTGGGGGTGGGGGTGGGAAGGAGCAAGACACTTTCCTTGGCCCTCAGATAAGTTGCTCTGCATTTTTACAAGGGCCTGCTGAAGACAATACCAACAGAATGAGTAATGAGGTAGTTCATTCATTAGGTATCCCAGACAAATAAACAAGATACCATTTGAGAGGAGACTGTTCCAAAAGAACAAGTTTGTTATGAAGGGCTGGCGGGTGACCCTGCCTCAATTGCTTTAAAAGGGCTCATGGCTTTGTGCCGGAACCACCCCACTTCACCCCTGTTCCACCTCAGTCCTGATCCTAACCATAAACTGTAGTTTAAAATAAAGCGGTTTTCATTCACTGTGGATTTTCATGTTTTCCCCTTCTCTAATGCCTCAGGGCTTAGCCAAAGTGGGTTTTTGCAGCCCACCAGCACCCAAGAAGTAGAAGAGACATCAGGATGTGCAAAGTGCTTTGGGATCCATCCCACAGACTGGGAGCAAGAGATGCCTTAGCCTTATACCTCCCTCTGCCCACAGGTGCCACTGCTCACGGCTCAGGGTCAAGGATGGGATCAAACATGCTTTTCCTATGGCAGGTGGCAGGCATGGGCAAAGGGCAGGAGTGTAACCACTCCCGCCAGCCCTAACAAAACGGGTGAGGTGGGGACCATGCCACTGAGAGAAACGAAAGGGAATGAGGAGGTGCCGAGGGTCTTCGGCTCGGCACGCGGCGACACGGCCACGCGCTGGACGTTTACAACCACTAGAGCGATGCCTCAAGCGAGGCCCCCTTCCAGATCCCTCCCTTCCCGGACCTGACCGTCTGGATCACCTTGATCTTCTCGCCCTCGATTTCCACGGTCTTCTCCCTGAAGTCCACGCCAATGGTGGCCTCAGTCTTGTCCGGGAAGGTCCCCCCGCAGAAGCGGAAGGTCAGGCAGGTCTTGCCCACGTTGGAGTCCCCAATCACGATGATTTTGAAGATGCGAATCTGCACGTACTGGTCCAGCGAAGAGTCGAGCTCCAGGGACGCCAGGCCCGCGGCCGAGGCGGGCTGCAGGCTCCCATGGCCCAGGATGGGCTGCGCCATCTCCCCCGGACCGGACCGGGGCCCCAACCCCGCTCGAGGGCTCCACACAAAGAGAGCGGGCACGTTAGTGCGCTCGAGGCGAGCGAGCTTTGTGCGTGTGTGTGCGTGTCTGTAAGTGTATGTCCGCGCGTGTGTGCGTGCGCCGGCGGCGTGTGCGCGCGCGCGTGAAGGGGGTGCCTCTCACCCCAGGCCCCCCTCCTCCGCCAGCGCACCCTCCTTGCAGCTCCGAGGCACCGGCACAAAAGCCGGCGAGTGCGCGAGAGACGGAAGGGGCCGGCCGCGAGCCTCCTCCTCCTGCCCGTGCCCCGGACCGGACGCTCGCGCGGGCGGCCCCACGGCGCTCTCCAGGCGGCCGCCGCCTAGGCCCTCCCCTGCCTGGACCCCTGGGACACACCGGAGGGCGGAAGCCTGAGGAAAGGGAGGGGATGTGGAGAGCGGCGCACGCCGACCGGGGAAGGTCTTCCGTTCTCCTCGCCCCCATTGATTTTATAGGTTGCGGGCTCCCCACCCCCGCGTTCTCAGAGCGCGCGGGGTCGGTGGGCAGGGGGCACAGCTGGGGAGGACAAAGACAGCTGCACCCTAAGGCTTCTCGGGAGCACTTCGGCCTCGGAGCAACAGTACCCGGAGGGGGGGCGGGGAGGGGCAGAGACACCTCTTTCACCTCCTGAGCACGCCTCCTCGGCTCCCTCCCAAGCCTGGGGATAAAGAGATGCTCTGTCTTTTTGAGTAAGCAGGTGCACTCGCGCGCCCAGAGGAGCCGGGGAGGGTGCTGCCAAGACACGCCTTGGGTTGTGGGGGCCGGCGCAGCTGACAGGAGGGAGCCGGGGGCGCGGGGTGTGCGTGTGTAGGGGGAGTTACTGTTTCTGTCACCGACTTGCCAGATGTGGGGGGGGGGGGGGGGGGCGCGTGCCAGGCGCCAACCTCCCTTCATCACACCATGAGCACCCATCCTCTGAATGTTCAGGAGAGCGGCTTCCATTGGCTGTCGCAGTCGGTTGTGTTTGGCTGGCCAATGGGGAAGGCCCGCCGCCGGAGAGGGCCATACAGGGTAGGAGAAGGGGGGAAGCTAGTGGTGGCAGCTCCAGCAAAAGGGAACCTTGTTTCTTGGACTAACCCTTACAGACCTAGGAGGAGGGATCTTGGGACATAGCATAAACCTTACAGTGTCTTCCATCTGAAATAATGTCCATATAATCATAAGTCCTTCCAGAATGGTGCAGTTTCAAAAGGAATTGGAAACCCCAAGGAGGGTTCACCCCTCTGCAACTGAATGTAGAAAAAAGTGGTTGGGTCTACTTTGCCCGAAGTCTAGATTATGCTTGGAAGATGATAAATGAACAGAACTTTCTTACGGTATCAGGGGGCAGCTTCCCAAAGCTTACTAAGCACCACACATCTTGGTGGAGACCTATATTCCGTCTCCCAAGAGTGATTTGCAGGTTCAGAGTTTGCTTGTTTGAAACCAATTTTACTGAGGTACAACTTACATACAATAAAATGCACCCATTTTGTTTGCTTTTAAAACTTTCTCCCTCCTCTCACACATTTCATAGGCTAAGGCAATTTTGACATATGTCGATTGCACCGACATATGAGTTATTCACTAATGCCTTCAAAGTCAGGGATACCAGCAGCACACAAGAGCTGCCATCTTATTTGTGTGTGAGGCTGAGCTGCAGAAGAGACAAACGTGACTAAATCCATTCCCACTATGAGAAGAACAATTCAGTGCATCAGTGATAGATCTATATGCAAATTGGAATGTGATTGCTCAGCCAAATTCAAGTTACTCAAAATGGCTGTGAAAACTTGGGTCTTCTAGTTAATAACCTTTCTTAGATGAGTTAGCAGATATATTTATAGCTAACTCTTCTCATACATATGAGTCACTCACTAAACCCTAGAGTCACTCTAAAATCCTAGATTATACTATTCAATATTAAAACCATTTCGAGAAGGATTTAATCTTAGTTGGCTAATCCAAGGTCATCATTATGAATACCAATTATTATTGTACAGTGTGAATAGCAATCTTCATGTGCAGTATTTTGTTTTTTTGATTGGCTGATATAGAAATAATAGTTTCCTGCATTATTCCCTTCTGCATTTGTAATGCTCTTGGTGAACATTATCTACAGAAGAGTAGCTATAAAGCAGGGGGTTAGGGGAGTAAGTGTTAATTAGTCATACCCCAGTAGGTAGAGTGGAAAGGAGCTCTGCCAACTCAC